AATGTCTTGGTAGCCTATAATTTATCTATTATCTAGAGGACATTTGGGTCAAAAGTACACCCTGAAATTATTTCCACTCAAGGTCATGAAATCCATTATCTATCGTGTAAAGTGCATGTTTTGAAAAATATCGGTAGTGCTGATAAATGTTACACTACAACTAAAATTTGCCCTCCAGTCATGCAAACAGTGAATTGTTGCTTTACTATACTTCACATGGGCCTGCTCTGAAGTTAAAAAAGAAAATTTTTGTTGAAGTAAAATCGACATGATGAATTATATTTCCGATTTTTATTACCAGCTTTTTTATTCATTCGGAAAGAGCACAAAAAATGGTCTCAATTAGAGCAGCTTTTAGTCGAACATCTCGTAAAGGGTAAGCACTGCGATTTTTTTCGACTTCGACGTCTTACATCTTTTATAGCTTGTACGTCGATACATCTGACTCACATTCGCGCGTTTATTGAAAACTTAACTAAAACTGGAAAGCTGTGCATGTTTCTTCGGTTAATTTGTAACGAAATAAAATTTTGATTTACGATCTTTTTAACACGAAAATATTAATAAATTTTCATCTTTATTACCTCAGAATTTCTTTAAAACTTCAGTAAAACTGTGAATTTAATCGCTATTGAGGGATTAAAATTCTGTAGAAGCTGTTTTTTACACAGTAACATATATCAATACACGTTTTGAAAGAGCTGAAATATAAAAATCAAAGTTGTCTTTTCAATTAGACCTTTGCACTGCTTCTTTAAAATTGCTCACATAAATTATTATCAGTATCAATTTAAAAAAAAATAGTCTGAAACATTAAAACTGAAAATGTATATATTGTCCCATAATTAATTTCGACAAAAGTTTCACGTAACTCTCATTTAAAATACTTGCAATCTATAGCCGGTCGCTATTGTGTGGTGTTACAGCAACTTGCGACAGCCAAGTGAGATAATGAGCCCTCTGTGCCAGCGTTTGGTTTAGGATAACGTCTGAAATTTCATTCGTAAACTAATTAATGCAAATTAGTTTTAGTTTACAACAGCTAGATATGTAAACTATGCCAACGTGATCAATAATCTCAGACCAAGTCAACCTGAACCAAGTTGACTGTTTAAACTTACACTCAGGTAAACTCGGAAGTTCGTCCACTCGACATCTGACCTTCAACATAAAGAAATTTTGTTGCGTTTTCCCCACTGGCTTTTATTGCCATTCAATCTGCCGACAAAGATATACTTTTGGCCATTATCAGACGTTTCGTATTTCACGAAGGTAATCTAATATATTTCGCAAAAGAAAAGTGGAGCAATTTATGTGCTAAAGTACAGCCGGAAGCCAGGTTTTATGGCATATTATATCTAACCCATTTTTTCGGAGTTTATTGGTGGAAACAATTTATTAACGTCAAAAAGAATTATGTAACTTTGAAGAGGGAGCTTTATTATTAAAAATGGTAGATGATAATCCTTTCTTTTCGTAAAGGTTAGTGTGGAGGGCTTACAGTTGGATTTAAAAAAAATTGAAAAATATGTAAAGTAGATATTCTCGCTTTGTAAATCCAATCTGAATTAAATGCAAACATATATAATAAACGCTAGGTGGTTTATGGACAATAAATATAAATGATATATGAATTGAGAGAAATTTTAACATTATTTATTCAAAGTATTTGACTTTAATTACCTAAAGCAAATATTTTGAACAGAAGGTACAGAGTGAATAAACATGGATGATATGTATTTTTTTCGCTGCTCGTAATTATTCGGAAGTTCATCAGATTTCACTCACGAATAACATGGCCGACTTCATTAATATACACTAACGTGTATATACGGCCGTTTCAATTTCTTAAAAATTTGTTCCCGCGTAGTAATCCATGGGTACATAAGCATACGCCACCCACGGCAATGTCTTGAACTAAACTGTCACTACTGTCAGAAATTTTCTTTGACAATTTTCAAATCCAAAATAATTTTGGGCATGAATTATTATCGTTGTTAATAAAACTAGGTCTTTATAATATGGGAAGAAAGTGTATGATTTGTGGTAATACACAGAATCCACTTTTTGGAATTCCTGCGGAAGTAGATCTTAGAAACAAATGGTTTGAATCACTTTCAAAATTTTGTGGTATTTCATAAAAAAAGTTCCTCAAAAAATATTTTATTCGAATTATTTTAGATCTGACCAAGATAAACGATCATAATGTTGTGTGTTCCAAACATTTTGCAACAGAATGTATTGTTAGAAGCGCAAAAAGTACTCGTCTTAATAAACAAGCGGTTCCGTTTATATTCGTATGTACATAAAAATCTACGTACCTCACATAATCTATAAATCTTTGTCATCATTCCAGAATCCTACTGATCCTGACATTTCTAGTACCCAACCAACAAATCCTTTTTTAGAAGACACTCATCCAACTTCCGTTTCCTCATTCCAAAATGCTAATAAGGAAACTAATGTTTCCACATGTGATGATTTAAGTGCAAAGGATAAACAAGAACTTAAAGATCTCAGGTACCACAACAAAGTTTTAAAGCAACAATTGAGTAGAATGAAACGAAAGAATTCTGAATGTTTATCAAAAATGAGAGAGTTAGAAGAAAAAGTAAAAAATTTGGATGCTTTAAAAATAACCAAAATTATAGAAGACGCAAACAACGCAGATGAAAAGTCAATATTTCTTTTGGACTTGATAAAAAATCACTATAAAAAAATACCTAGGTGGTCAGAAATGTCTCTTCGTCTGTGTACTGTCTGGAGATTTTGTTCGCCTAAAGGTTACAGATTTTGCCACAATAACTTACTAAAACTGCCTTCAAAATCGACTATATCCAGATTCCTTGGAGACTTTCATGGTCAAAATAAGCTGATCCAAGAGCGATTGTGTGCAGAAATTGGTCAATTAAAAAAGCCAGTTGAAAGGATCTGCTCCTTAATAATGGACGACATGTCCATAAAAGAAAAAGTTCATTACTGTAGGACAGAAGATCGAATTTATGGCTTAGAGACAACAAGTTCTACTCGTGTTGGAACTAAGCCAAAAGTAGCCAACAAGATGCTTTGTTTTGTGGTGCAGGGATTGAGTACTAGATATACAATACCAGCAGGGTATTTTTTCCACTCGTCGTTAACAACTCAGGAATTATATTTATTAACAAAAAACATTTTACAACTTCTGACAAACTGCGGCTACATTGTGATTAGATTTGTTACAAACAATATTTCAACAAATGTCGCCCTCTTTAAAAAATTTGGAAACGGATCACTGAAAAATTCCATTAATCATCCCATTCTGGAACATATTCCACTATTTTTGAGTTTCGATTTCTGCCATGCTCTAAAAAATGCACGAAATTTGTTTTTAGACCATGATATGTATTCTTCTCAAGGCAAAATTTCATCATGTTACCTCAAATTATTGTATGATTTGCAGGAGGGAATGCCAGTAAAGCCTGTCAGATATTTAACAAAGAAGCATCTATTTCCATCAAACTTTGAAAAAATGAATGTCCTAAGAGCAATCCAAGTTTTTTCACCTACTGTAACCTCTTCTTTAAAATTTCTAAAAACTGCAGGGGACGATCGCTTTGTAGACGCTGATGCCTCTATATTCTATATGGAAAACATGTACCATTTTTTTCAGGTGCATAATGTTTCAAGCAGAGATCACTATCTTCGTTCACTAGATAGCAGTATTGCACCATATGTGCATATTTCAGATGAACGTCTTGACTGGTTAAATGTCACATTTCCAAAGTATATTGACGATATCCAGAAGACTTCTGTAGATGTTGGATTTAAAGGTCTTACTAAGGAAACAGCTCATGCGTTACAATTCACGGCAAAAAGCACATACCTCTGTGTAAATTTTTTGCTAAGCCAGGTTGGCTTCTATTATGTTGTAACGCGATCCTTCAGCTCAGACGCAGTAGAGGCCATGTTTTCACATGTAAGACTGAAAGGTGGTTCTAATGATGCCACAGATGCCAGAGCTGCAGATTATGCATTAAGGCAAATTCTTCGTTGTGGGATTGTTAAAGCTTCCCATTCCTCAAACACTGCTGAAAATGTTAACTATATTAGTCCTGCAAATATTTTAAATTTACAAGAAAACAGAGAGAGCTTTACTAAGCACACATAACAACTCATATTTCCAATTGAAGAACGAAGAAATATTCACAATCTTAAGAAGTGCATCATACCTGATAATAATATTTTCTCAGCATCAGTAGCTTTCTTGGCAGGATACATAATAAAAAAATTAGAAGATTTATTTCATTGTGATGAATGTTTAACACCTCTATTATGTACTAGCATTCCAGGTCCTTTGCTACAATTGATTGCCATTCAAAACTGAGGAGGTTTAGTCTTTCCCAAAGATATCTTTGTTGGTATTATTCAGCTGATAGCTGAAAGCATCCAGCAAATGTTGCCATTTCTACAACATGATAATCCTGGTAAATACATACTTGAAGAACTGTATCCACACCTTGTGCAAAATCCCATTTTCGTCTGTGCAAATCACAGGGATTCTGTGTGCAAATATATAATCAAAACGACTGTAAAGCCAGTTCTCAGCAATCTTTGCTTGGAGACCACAGATTCTGTCAAGAGATTTGCATTAAATTTTAAACCTAAAAGTCGAAAAGTATTGAAATTGTAACTTTACGTTAATATTATTGTTTTACTTACTGTGCTTTGTGATAAAATTAAAAAAAAACCTTATTATCTGAACCAAACTGCTTTTTTTTATGCTTCGAGTAAAATTTGTTGTCAATGTCAGTTTCAACTCGACAATTAATTTGACAGAAATAGCACGAGATCTGTCGTTTGAGGGTGCCACAATATGCACTAGGCGGCGGAACATTTTTTCTAATGGAAAATCAAAAATTGAAACGGCCGTATATACACGTTAGTGTATATTAATGAAGTCGGCCATGCGAATAATCACATTCAGAGAAATTCTATCAAGTTTTCGTTGACCGTCTGTCTCACTGTGTCCTTCAACTTTAGAAAATGAGTGAGATGTTCAGTCAGATTCTTTATTTCTCTCATTTTGTTCCAAATAGCACCTCGTCTTCGTATCAGCAGTTTGCCTTTTAGTAATCTGATTAATTAACCTGCAGATAACGTATGTAATTATTGGCCGATTCATTTTTAATTTTATGAAATAAGAATGTTTTATTCAAAAAATGACGTAATAGGTAAACTAAGCTTTTATAGACGCTACTACAGTTATGTTGAAACTTATTTTTATTTAAACATACTGTTATGAGCCCCATTACAGCCTTTCAGTATTTCAGCGAGTGCCTACGGCCGAGGTAAAGCAAACTCTGAATACTATCTATTCAAATTCACGTACACATTTTCTTTAATAATGTGGCAGGAAGCGTAACGTGAGATAACAAAGGTTATTTTGAAAGCATTTTTGTTATCATTACTTACTCTGTTAACCTGCTAGGGACAGGACACGATGTTTTTAGAGGTGAACGACGAAGGCTCTGCGAGATGATAACACTGACGATAACTAAAAGCAAACTATGTTTTACAAAAAGTGGAAAGGCAATTTAAAGGAAATTTATTTTGTGCGCTCGAGTGTTTAATGGAAATTTATTGTGTTCAGGATGCATGTAAAATTTGAGGTTATTGATTCAAAGATGCTGAACAGTATTTCCTTTGACAGCGTAAAATGGAAAATTTTTTCATTGTACGTACGTGCCTCTTACTTTTAATTAAAAAAAAATGGAATAAATATGTTGAAGCTGAATTTATTAAATATTTTATGCGCAGTGATTCAATCACAGGAAATTTGCGCATATTTTATAAACAGAAGGCACAAAAACAAGATGTGTTCTAATGGTCTTAGCAATTGAAGTTCTATACTCTATAAATATTCTTCTACTAATATGGGGTGTTTTATCTCAACTGTGTAGGAAATACGTATACAAGGGAAAGGAAGTTTGTTTTAAAATTTAATTTTGATCGGTTGGAAATAAGAACAACTTTTATTTCTTAGTAGGAACGTTTTTTTAAAAATATTTTTTGACAATATAATTGTGTTCGATATTTAGTAAGATAATATTAACGACTTCACAATGTTTGAAGCCCTCGAATGGCTACTTTACTGTTTGTTTATTTGTGTATCATCTGTCGTCTATTGTCTATCGTCTGTGTCGATTTTTGAGTAGCCATACAGGTTGACTGCGAAATACATGCAAAAAAAAATGGGCAATAGCTCACAATATCATTATGTCACTGGCAAAAATTCACGGTCCTAAGTGGTAGGAGTGTCTAGAAAAAATTATTTGAAATTAAATGTAAATTGTTATACGCGCCGCTGGTAATGTTTCGTGACCTACATAATTACTGCAATGAATGGGTAGGGGACTCGGAGTAAGAACCAAAAAAGTAACTTTATCAGGCACTTTTTTAATCGCAACGTGAAAAACACGAAAAGGGCCAGTCATTATCGAGCGGTCGTTGAAATCGGTGTATGGTCCAGTTTTCCAATGCAGAGTGTGTCGATATGGTAATTTGCATCAGTGGTACAGCATCTCCGAGATCATGGTACCTTCAACCTCAAACTCACGATCGTGCTCGTGATGGGACAGAAAGAAGAAATTGGATTTTCGCAGCTTGTAGTGCATCCTACATTAAAAGTACACGGTCATAACCATACCATGTTGACAAAGTGCACAGTTTGGAGCCCGCTGATTGTCCACGTTTTGTAACTCACTTTTTGTCCGATGGAACTCCACATAGTCGTCAACAAGTACGATTTCAAGAGACGATTTTCGAGAAACGTGTATTGGTTGGATGAAACAATTCGTTTGTGGAAATCAACAGTGTCCAGAAATTATCGAAGAGCTTCAACAAGTGAAAGTGGCAGCCGCTACTCCGGTGTTTTTTTACCTATCAACAAACCTCTTGCGACGCTCTGACGCCTGTATTGCTAGTCAAGGACAACATTTTCAACATTTCTTGTAAAAAGGTAGTAGCATTCTAAGTTGCTCTTATTTCTGTTCCAATAAACAATGTAAAATCGTTGTGACAAGGACCAAACATCCGTCAGAATCAAAATTACTAAAAAACTTTCACACTGACCTTTAACGATGAATGAGTAAATGAATGAACGAATGATAAGCAGCAAAAAGTCGGTTTTACTTTTAATTGAAACTGAAAGTGTTTAGGTCGTTTTTATTCGAACGTTTTTCCAACTCTGTTTACAAGGTGGCTCAGTGCCTTCGTATCGAGGGTGGTTCATGGGGGTTTTGCCCCATTAGATTTTTAATTTATTTTTTCTATATTTCGGCTCTACTAGGGTGGGGGATGCCGTGGTTAAAATATTTGCACTTATTTCGCAGTCACCCTGTATATTGTCTAAAACTATCGGACTAATTCTGGTCAAATTTTAGATAAATGTTAGAAATATAGTGTAGATGGTAAAAAGTTAACTGAAATTTGTCTATTTATCCCCATCAATATTTTGATAACGTCACCTCAACATTTTTTATAGTAAAACTTACTTAAATTTTATAAAATAACATACTTATGCACTTGTGTGTTTACAAAATGTAAAATGAATTCCATAAAAAATTTAAGCTAAGATAGAAACCACGATTCCTCGGTATAAGTCTGTTGAGATTATATTTAGAAATAAAATAAGTATTCTCTCAAATTTAATAGTAATGTGAGAAAAAATTATATGGCAGTAAACACATTCACCGTTTTATGACAATTCAGTTACAACTTCCCCTGCAATTAAGTGCAAACATGCTAAATACCGCAAGGATTTATCAAGGATTAGGTATTCGGAGAAACTAAACAATGTTTATTTAAACTATGACTTTAATCAAGATCTAAAGCAAATATTTTTACCGAATGGAACAAAGGGCAATATAATATTTTTCCGAATTTCTTGTTACTGAACGTAATAATAATAATCACTGTTGTTTTATTTTTAAATAATGTTATGCAATGTGATGCATTAATTCTGTTCAAATTTGTTTTCCTTGTTCTCAATTTGCACACTACTTACCCACCATAAACGTATATGTAAATATGTAGTCGACGATTGTAAGCCGCAATATGTCACTTATCTCCAAAATTACAGCGCTTAAAGGCGTGGCATTTTGTTACATGTATAGTCATGCGATTTAGTATTGGCAACAAATTTTTTAAAATAACATTTGATTTGCCTTAAACCCGAGGTAAAGATGAATACCATCTGACTATTTATGAATCATACGAGTAGAAGGGTTAATTCGATCATAATGTAGTATTTTTTGGGACTGAATGACTTATTAGAATAAGATACCTATACCAAAGACTAAATGAGTGGAAAACGATATTTTAACCTGCAGGGAACGAAAGGGATCGGGTTCGGAACGTATTTCCAAAACATGTTATACAAAAAAAAAAAGATTATGTCCTAACAGCTAGGCTTACTGGAATATTCTTGTAGTAATGTTTTATTGTGGAAGCCAATATTATTTTTTGACTTGATGTTTCGAGATATTTAGAGACTATAAAAGTAAAAAAAAAACCCTTATTGCGGTATTTAGCTACTTCATTAAAGTATCGTTAATCAGGATTTATTGTAGTCTATTGTCAAATGATTCACTACCAATCCAGTATTATCTGTTTAAATAAGGTTGAAGTTTGGAACTGAGTCAGTTACGAGGTTGCAGCCTAAAACATAATTAAATACTTAATTCTCGAAATAAAAAGACTGCAATATACCATCCGATGACAGCAACAGCATAGCACTTTTGCACCATGCACAATATACACAGAAACATAAACAATGAATTAACACCTTCCTGGTTTCATTACACAACTACGTAATTTTGAAGCTAAAACATGCAGGGCCCCAGATAAAATTTCTCGGACTTATAAGTTATCTCTTTTTTATCAACTGAAAATGAATTAAACACCCAAGTGTTTAATCGCATAATACTGATTTATTAAAATTCGATAAAAAATATGTTGCAATTTAAAAAAAAAACATAGGTTACCACTGACGCCATATGCACGTCATTTTTGCGGTGTACTAAATTAAGTTTCCCCCTTCAAACTAAAAGCAATGGCGTTTTCAGAATTTAGATATTTCTACCCGTTCTTCAAATATAATTTTGCGGAATTTTATCCACGATAGACAGTATATCAGGATCACCAACATCATTTTTCATATATTTTTGCTCATTAATTTAGATGTAACCATGCAAAATTTGTAGTGACGTGGTGAAATGCGTAGAAAATTTGAAAACAATCGGTCCAGTAGTTCGGAGATTATCTGTCTAATAAAAATCGATATAGACGACAAATGACATATGGAAATGGGAGATTTATTTTTTTCATACTAATGAAACGTCGAGAAATCATGAAAGTAACTATTCGCTGGTTCGCTGGATAGACCGTATTGCAATACTTCCTTAGCTTGCACTAAATAAAAAGTATAATTTTGAAAACTGTAGATTATTTAGCGTCAATTGCAATTTGGTGCAGTTATTATTAATTATTTAATAATTAACGATAAATCAGTTCTGTATATGGCGGTCTTTACTGATTATTATTAGTTATTTCAAACGCCATGTATGTATATACACAAGTACTTGTGTTGACTAAAACTTTATCATTAGACAAACAGAAAAAAATATATACATTAACAATTAAAAACGAAAAACAAAACTAATGGAATTTTGTGAACTTTAATTTAGATTTAAATTATTCTAGAACGTGTGATAATAATACATTCATAAATTTTAATTTAAGTCTGATTACTACCTAATTTTATGAATGAAATTTTTAGTTGCGACACAAAGTTTTAAATAAATAAGGTACGTTTTAACTTTATTAAAAAAATAATCTTGCTGTAATTTAAAACGATAACGCTCATATTAAACTAAGCCCCAAAAGGTCCCCCACTATACTACTTTTCCTCTTTATTAACATTAATGAATAGTTTTTAATAAAATTATATTTGTTTATACCTCAAACAAAATACAGGAAAATAATGATGCAACGACTCTACATATAGACTTGATAATTGAGGCATTAATAAAAGCATAAAACTGTCCTACATTTGTCGCCTACTAGGAATTTTATTGTAAAATGAAAAGATTTAGAGATAAATGACGCTTAACCAATTATGTACAAAAAGATTAAGTTTATAACGCATTTTAAATAAAAGTGCCGGTTAGGGAAAAAATTGTCAGAGTCTTAAATGCCGTAGATCTGTTAGCAGGTGAGCGTCTAGAATTTCCACTGTCATTCATTTTATTTTAATTAAATTTTGTAGGGATTTATTTTCACAATGGTGCCCAAACTCGTTGTAGGAATTGCACTAGTTTACATCAGCGTTGAAATTGTTTCAGCTGCTACAGGTGAAATACGACGCAATAAATGAAACACGCATTCGTCAATCATTTATTAAATACATTTTTAATTTTACAACAAGACAATAAATGTTTATGTTCGCAGATAAAGTGGTCTGTTATCATGGGATCTGGTCCGCTTACAGAAGAGGTAATGGCAGATTCACTGTCGAAGACATCGATCCGACGCTCTGCACGCATCTTATTTATTCATTTGTTGGTATTACGGATGATGGAAGCGTCAGACATCTTGAGGAGAATTTGGATATTAATCAGGGTAATTTCCATTACCCAGTTGGGTTTCAATTCTATTGTGTATTTTCTCTAGGGAATATTAAGCGGTTTAATGCCTTGAAACAAAAGAATAAGAACTTAAAAACCCTGTTAGCCATCGGTGGCTGGAATGAAGGTTCGCTCAGATATTCTAATGTTGCGGCAAGCGCTAGCAAAAGAGCTAATTTTATTAAAAGCGCTCTAAATTTGGTGCGAAGTTATGGATTTGATGGGTTCGATCTGGATTGGGAGTATCCAGGACAACGCGGAGGAGCTGCAGTAGATAAAGTATTTGATATTTCATTTTTGAAAAATATTTATGATTTATTGTTTGAACTTGTAGCAAAATTTTGCAATCTTGATAAAAGAATTTAGGACGGAATTTGACAAACACGGTTTGCTCTTAACGGCTGCTGTTGCGGCTACTTCTGGGTCGGTGGATTTGTCCTACGATGTTCCAGCCTTGTCTAAGTAAGTGAAATTTGCCATAATTGCGTAAGCAGATTGATACACATATAATTTAATGTTTATATCGTTTGGTTTTTACAAAATTATTTTTTGAAGAAGAATTTTCTAGAGACATACGAAATAGTGCATATGTTACAGTGAAAGCCGGAAACCTGTGAATGCCAACAATCACTAGGGAATGCTGGCATTTATAGAGAACTTTTGACTAGTGAATGCTAGCATTCCCTAGTGATTGTTAGAATTAACTGCATTTCCAACTTTCACTATAACATATACAATAGATTTTGTCAACGTGATTGCATTTAGCTTAATATGGAAATCTTAATTTGATATATCCCTAATCTTTATAAGAAGTATTAAATTCTTATTATCCTAATATAACATAATTGTATCGTAATTATATCTACCTACGTTATTTTGTCCTTCCTAAAATTGTGTAAATAATTTAGTGATTATGGATTCTCATAAAGACGATTGTTTTATCAATTCAAAATATTTATACGCGTGGTGCATCGTCGTAAAATAAATCGTAAAATTTGGTGTTCTTTGAAAAGCTTGTGTTGTAAAGCTGACGTTAAAAATGCATTGCACGTAATGACTTTTGCAGAAATTTATATACTTCAATAAATTTTGAGACGACAGATACGTGGACCAATTAATTTTTAGTTTTGTCAAGTGTATGCGAATTTTACAGTCAGTGAACAGTTCTACGGAGAGAACAATAAAAAATCACGATCGACGATGTTCTTAGATTTCTGAAGATTTATCTTTGATAGAATGTTTGTCTTGTCAGAGTACTGTCAATTGGAAAGTTGAAGTTTAAAATGCAATGATTATAGATAAATATTTAAAAATCCATGGCTGCCTCTGATTGTGTTTTTTTGTTTCTCTCTGCGTGTTTTAGGCATTATTAAGAAAATAATTCTTATTAAAATTGTTGTAGTATAAAAAATATCTGCACGAAGAAAAAAAAATATGTATATTTTTTAAGAAAGTCGACTGTTAAGAAATTTATTATAGTATTATTTATGCTGTCTTAGAATTTAGTGCAAGTGAAACAGTCTACATTAAACTTACCACGACATAAGAAACCTCTGTAGTGGTTTATACATATACAGATTGTCGCTAAGCGCTCGTTTCTCGATGTCTCATTAATTATTATCAATAGAAAAAACAGTCGAAGACAAAAGTTGTACGATTTCTTGGGGACTATACTGTAAAAATATTTTGAACTATACAGAGTGTTCCGCTTTTAAGGAGTAACACACAACTTTGTTTTTTTAAATGAAATACGCTACATATATTTTTATATATTTTAATTGACTTTCTCTTAGGCTTTACAACCACAGTTTATTTTTGAAAATACGATGCGACGTTGTCACGTTATTCCAAGTTTATTGAAATTTTTTAGGAATTGAAGCATTCACAAAAAAGCCATAGTAGGGTTACTTTTAAAGTCAGTGAAGTCCGTCTTATAATATTTTGTAGAGAGATAAATAAAGGTACATTGTTGTGATATAAAAAAGATAAAATTTACATGTACGGGGTGTTTATAAAAAGTATTTTAATTATTACAATTTGTAAATATCGATATTTCAGTTTTTTCAAATAGAACACCCTATATTTCATTACTTCATTTTATTTTATTTTTTGTTCTCTTTCTTTTAGCTGGGTATTTTCTGTATTTAAAATTGTTGCTTACCGGGATTTTTTACTTTTTTGAGAGATACAAAAACTGAAATATCGATATTTGAAAATTACAGAGATGTAAATTTTTTTATAATCACTCTGCATACTAAAACTTGATTTATTTGACACCACAACAAAGACTTTAAAAATAACGCTATTGTGATTTTTTTGTGAACCCTTCCATTGCCAAAAAAATCAACAAAATTGGAATAACATGGCCACTTCGCATTGGAAATTTAAAGGTAAACTGTGGTTACAAAGCCTAAGAAGGGGTCAATCAAAATATGTGAAAATATATATGATATTTTATTAAAAAAAAACTAAGTTATATGATACACCTTGAGAACAGAACACTGTAAAATTAAAAATAATTTTAAAGTATAGTTCTTAAAGAACCGGATAACTTAGGTCTGTATGTTGCTTTTGTATTTCTAGTAATTAATGAGATATCGAGGAATGCCCTCTTAGTGACTCACCCTGCATATTTTATTATGTGAGGTTTTTAAAATTTTTGAAGTTCTTAAATTCTCAGTACTAGGTAACTTATATAAAACTCATAAATAAAATATGTCACATCAAAAACATACTTTCATAAATGTAGTTTGGGCACAATTTCCTAAACTCTGATAAATAATTAGGACTAATAGAGTAGATACGTAATGCACAGGTCGCACAAGTTATATTTAGAAAATTTTTATTCCAACTTACAGTGGCGGCTCGTGACTGTCTGATGTGGTGAGGCGATGATAGAAGTTTGACAATAATAGTAATATTACTTGGTCTTACTAGTTAGTAATGATAGAAGTCTTGCCTGAATACCGGTCATTCCCGGGTCAGTGGTAGGTCCTAATAATAATAATAATAATAATAATAATAACACCCATAACACATTGAATCAACAATGTTTTTACAAGTCAAAATTTTGTTGAAAGTAGCACTTTCTTGGAGGGATTCGGGAATAGTTGTTGTGTTCTTTTTCTAAACATTTTAAGCCCATGAAATTTTTAATGTGTACTTTGGAACTTTCATGTAACTTTGCACTTCGGATGAAATTCGTTAAATCGTTATATCCCGGGATGTTGTCTAAATATTACGGCAGAGCCATTTATATGTTTCGTAGGTACCAAGTTGATTTAAATGACTTGGAGTACTGACGATTCTGTCGCTTATCAATGGAAGTTAAATGAATTAACGGTTTTGACTGCTCGATATTTAGCAAAATTTGCCGACGTTCTAGCTCGGTTCGCCGTGAAAACGGCGTTTCAAGAAGCAACATGACGATGTCGTACTCGGGATTCATTTTTCACTCACCTGTACCTATGAAAGAGACAATAACACAAAACACCAACACGTGGGTTTTTATTCACGTTCATGCTAATTACCCACGCACCCCGCAACCCTACCGTTCTGTAAAATAAATGGAAAAATGGTTTAATGAGTACGCCGAAATTGGCCGAGAAGCACCGAAGATATCGCCTCAGTTCCGAGCGAACGCATGTATAGGAGTATAGGAGCTGAGCCATCGAAATCCGTGTCTGTGATTGGGCTTCGCTGGTTCAAGTGAACCGACGTTCTGGCCGCTTCAGTTAAAGAACTAGGGGCATAAATCGTACGGTATTCAACGGAGAATGTCAGCAGGAAGCGTAAAAAATAAAAAAACATGTACAGATTTCCCATTTCAACATATTTTTGTAACTAATGCATTGAAAACTCTTTTTTAATTATAAATTAAGTCAATCTGTTCTTAAGATCTTATGCTGTGAGGCGCCGCCTCACTTGCCTCATCTGACGAGCCGCCACTGCCAACTTATATGAAAAATTTAAAACTCGGACTACTCTGATTTATTTACAATTTAAACTACTTTGTAAAATTCGGTTGTTAATTGTCCTAGTTTTCCACATTCGTTTGGGTTTGGAAAAGTGAAATTTTTCCTAACTAGAGCGGAAAAATAAACCAAAACAATATCAAACACCAGTTTTCAAACTCCTTGCACGCCTTTTTATATTTTTTCTTTGATTTCTCGGGCAATAGTGAATTGCGTGCCAGTGTGGCTGAGTCTTCAACATCAAAAGATACTGATGCAACATCATCTTCTAACATTTTTACCTCAAGAAGCACCCAGAACACTTCAAACGTTGAAAAATTGCAAAATGTTGCGTTGTTTGTATTTTCCATGACAACAAATTTATTGCATTAAAAGGGACTTGATATTTTATCATTCAATTAAATTTATAATGAAGAGTTTTTTTACCTAATTTTACAAAATCTTGTGTGCAATTTGATAGGAAAAGTGTCTTTCCACATTCACGACATGTTTTTGATCTCGAGTTCGTCTCGATCAAAAATCTCATGTCTAGAATGTGGAAAAATGTCACTTTTCCTATCTTATTGCTCAAATAGCTATTATTTAACTTGTTGTATAATGAAACTTATAGAAATACAGCCGTCCTACCTCTATTTTCTAACCCGTTATTACAATTAACTCGCAGAGGTTTATTGATTATTGTTCTTAGGGAATGTAACACACGTTTACTAACACCGGCTTATCATAAACTAATTAACTACCCATCAAACAGAAACGTTTCAACGCGTGTGCTAAGCGTAGACATATTGTGTGTATTTTACAGTTTTCTTTGTTCCATTTCAGAATAATACAAGTTTAAAAGAAGTTAAAATGTTTACATTGTTGATTTAATGGCATATTGAAAACATTTTAAACAAAAATCTAAAAACAAGATCTTTTATTTTCAGATATTTAGATCTTATTAACGTAATGGCATACGACTTACATGGTTCTTGGGATGATGTTACTGGACAAAATGCCCCTCTGTACCCATCATCTGTTGATGTTACTGCCAATCAGAAGCTTTTGACTGTAGATGCTGCCATCCGTGGCTGGATACAAAGAGGAGCTAATCCACAAAAAATAGCACTCGGATTAGGAGTGTATGGAAGAACGTACACTCTGGCAAATCCAAATAACAACAATATTGGAGCTGTCGTTAGTAATCCTGGACATGCGGGCGAATACACGGGAGAAGCTGGAATGTTGGGATACAACGAAGTAAGTAAAATATTAGCAAGAGAGCGATTTATCTCAAGGTTTTTTGTAGATCGTAGAATTACAAAAAGAGGGTGGTTGGACAGTTAAATTTGATGACAATCAGAAGACACCATACATGTACAAAGGCAACCAATGGGTTGGTTTCGACAATCCGAGATCCATCTCAATTAAAGTAATTTGGTTGCTTATCCTTGTCTAGTACTCTTCTTAATCTACTATCTTTTCCTAGACTGAATACGCTAAATCACTGAATTTAGGAGGTGTCATGATTTGGTCTATTGAAACAGATGATTTCAAAGGAATTAGTGGTACCAAATATCCGATTCTTAGAACCATCAATCAAGCACTTGGAGTACGTTTTTTGAAACCGTGAAACACATGTTTAATTGTCTACGTTGCAGAATACTGCCAACGAGAATTTGGTTCCTGATCCAGCTCCTGAACCAGCACCTGCTCCAGAGTCGGAACCCGAGCCAGCTCCTCAGCCAAGTACAGACATCGGAAATGTTTGCTCCAAAGTCGGATATGTCAGAGATCCTAACGACTGCTCTATCTTTTATTACTGTTTGCACCATAATGGTGCGTTTATTCCCTTAGAACAAAGGTGTAACAGTGGTCTAGTGTTTGATGAGGCAAACTTGAGATGCGATTATCCGAGTATAGTACAATGTTAGAAGTATTTTACTGTACAAACACTTTTTTAAGTACTATTTTTCAACTGACATTTTCGTTTGACTGTATTATTACGTAGGTACAAATTTTTATTGCAGCGTTTATGTATAATCATGTCAGTGTTACCATAAGTCATTTTTAATGAAAATTTAAACATACAACAATCAAGAAAAAATGCACAGTTTCGGAAATAAATACAACTGAAAAATTCAAAAACTCATACAATTATTGTTCAACATTTTGGAAATAATACGGTAGTCAGGGTATTAATACAAATATTATTAGTAATACAGGGCTTTCATAAAAGTTTTATACATCCAGTGACCTGACACAAAATAATTATGACACTTTCCGTTATTTTTGTCTAGGAGTAAAATTGATGTGTTGTTTAATTTTAATGATGCATTCATAGATTACAAATTAAATAGTGTCGATTTTATTATTTAACTTGTGACATTACGATCATTCAAAGAGTAATTTGTGTATTTGAAATTAAAATACTCCAGCTTACTTGAGTTGTGTTTTAACAGCAACAGTGGTCCTGTAAGTAAGTAAGGTGTTTCAAGTTTAGTAATAATTTTTTCTAAAACGGGTGTGTTAAAACTGATATTCTATAGTAGAAATCTTTTGAAAACAGCACAAGCTGCGCGGAGAAAATCAACCGGTGGGTTCGAGATTTTTTTGCTTTTAGGGATCAATGAAAAATGTTCTTGCGCACGTAAATTAAAATTGTAAAAGAAATATTCCAGTAATTGTTTACTTCACCTGCAAAAGGAACTGTAGTTCTGAAAAGAACTGATTTTATAAACCAGAATTATAGAATAATAATAAAACATCGTACACGGACGAAATGGAACACAGCAATGGCAGGCACACCACTGTGATAGCTGAAAGCACTCCTCAAATTTGAAAGTTGACTCGCCCGAACCAGAATTGGTCGTCTGCGCAACTTTATTGGTGTGTTGTTTTCAAAAGATTTCAACTCTAGTAGGTCGTGGGAGGCAAAGTGACTAGATTTATTATTATTATTAGTTTAAAAAATGTGGCAAATTACTTGGACCTAGAATTGGAAAGATCAATTTCTTTAACGTATGCTAGAAACAGTATATAGTACCACCCATAGTACAAGAAGACATTGTATGCTACTCCGGTGGATGATTTTTTTTCTGTTTTGCGCACCAGCCACGTGACGTCACAGTGCCTTGGAAACCGTACTTGAAACGCTCTCCTGACAACTTCGAAAGCTGTCAAATGTCAATTTATCAGTGATACGAAATGTGAGGTTATAACAGAGGTTGAGATTCGGTTCAGTTGGGTGTTTAATTATGGGTTAACTTATCTTCCAAGGTGTTAAGTTAACATCAGACGCCAATAGCATGTGTTCAAAATTTCGGATCGTTCGTTGATAGTGATAATACGAACATGCAACAAGTCAGAATTTAAAGTTAGCGGTCATGACAGCCACATGACGTCACACAAAATGCGTAATATTATACCATGTTTTCTTGTGCCATGGTACCACCATAATGATAACCAAAAATACCTGACCCGAAAGCAAGACGAACAGAAATTTATTTCTGTTTCAAATGTTCAGTGGATGCATATATCTAATACTACTATATTGCCAACTGGCCTCAGAAGAATCCGAAAACACAACGGCAGCGCAATATATCGGACCTCTCTGTCTCTCTGTGGTACCAAACATTACTGCGCATACATTCGTACTTGCTTGATCTGTAGTCGATAGCGCGACTGAATGTGTTTTGACATTTCGTACTTACGCTTCTATTTTGTGTACATGCGCACAGACCCTTGGTACTCTTATAGACAAAACAATATCTTCCGTCTCTTCTTGTCCATGAAAACCGTTTCTATATTACTTCTGAAAAGTTAGCAATACACAGTAGTAGTATTAGATATATGGTGATGACAGAGTATTAGAAATAACATTTTTTAGTGATGTATTTGTCTATGTTAATTCGTAGAATTTTAGAATCTGTGATACTGAAAATCTTTGAGACTCTGTATTCTTACTTTTTCAAGGTGTGGTAAGTGGAAACAGGCGACATTTTTTGCAACCATTCAGACAACTAGAATAATAAGAACTTCATTCAGTTTACTTCCGATAGGATGGATCAATAGTACACAACGCGCAGTTGTTTAATGGCTAACTCTTTTGCGAAGATGGGGTAGAGCGTCTAATATGCAGCAGGTTTTTTGGGCCTAGAGACATGGTGTCAATAGAGTAAAATCATCGATGAAAGGTGACGGACTGCTTAAATTCCGCTCTCATAACAACGTCCTCTGTACCACGTTTCCTGATTTCTCGTGTGCCATAATTTAAATTTGCCGCCACACTGTCGTAATAACTTGTGTATTTTCATTGACTTACTTTAATGGCGATTTCTTTTTTTATATGTGTTTAATAGACTCGATTACTATTCGAGTACTTCTTTAGCTTACATTCGGGAAGTAAAAATTGTAAACAAAGATTTGCAGTACACCGGTTTGTTGCATCAGTATTACATTTAATTCGAATTTCATAAACTAATTAATCGTTGACGTAATTTACCGGCATGTTTTAAGAGCACTTCCAGTTTTCAAACTTTTAAGAACATCGCAAAAACGCGTTTTAGCCTTGGATATTTTTCTTGAATGTGTTTTCAACTAAATCACTCATTAAAAGTAAAATTGTATGGAAAATTTAGCGACAAAAGTTCGGTACATAAAAAAATTGAAACTCACAAAGTAACAATTAATTTCAAGCTTTGATAGGTACCTCCAGCATCTTACAATTTCTAGAATTAATTATTTGGTTATCTGTACATACAGATCACTATATGTTGTTTAAATGTTCAAATTTTATTATTTCACGAAAAAATTTAAAGGATCCCGTCAGGATTACTTCAACCATTGATTCTTCAACCAAAGAAAGACAAGCTGCGATGGGCTCTAAAACAACATGCCGGAATGTGTTCGCAATTGAGAATTGTGAAATAACCAGGAGCGCAGAAGACAAAAGAGAACGCAACATAGTTGCGAGATTTACTTACGCTATTTGCGACCATATAATGATATATTAAAGCCTGATAACCTAGTTATTTATTTTTGTATTTAATATTCTAAACTGTTAATGTATCCTTCAACAAAACTAAAAATTGTACAAAATTTGCGAATATTTGCAAATACGGTTTTTATCAATACGCAGTTCTATGATGAACAGATGAAAGATGAATCCAACTTGTCATAATATGAGATGAAAAATAAAAATAAAGTGAAGCAAAAATTACTGCAAGACTGCTAACGAACTGAGAGATACTAACAGGTCAACTGATATTTATGGTTTGTTCGTCTTCATTATTTTTCTTTTTTGATGCATTTTTTCTACAGTGATATCGAACATGAGTGTTGAGACTTTTAATTAAATTGAAATTGGTACAAAAGCGATAAGGACGAAACAAAAATAAGCCGGATCGAATAACGAGAATGGATTTCATTTAGTGTATTATACGATTTCCAATCTTTTCGGATCACGAACGACTCTCCCTAGTTTTAAAACAATAAATTTTGTTTTTTAGATGTAATTTTGCGCTTTAGTGCGACTATTTAACAACAGTTATTAGAATCCTAGTTTTCTTGAAACAAAAGTAAACATTTACTTCTTCTATTGATCCTTTTAAAAGCAGTGAAAATATGTATTTATTAAAAAAACTTTCTTCGTTGATAATAATTAATTCACATAGATGCATTTAAAAAAAACCTCACTATTAATTCCTGAGTTTCTTTATCAGTCCTCCACTAAATAATTAATGAGATCAAACATGAATAACAGCCGGCTAAATAAATTAATTCTCTTTACAAGTCCGAACGCATAAGCCTATAATATAAAATTCATTGCCATCCCTGTAATTACGATACCTAGAACGTAGAGAAAAGATAATTCTTGACTTCATTTATTTCGCAAAACTTGTGCAGCTAACCACGAGAATGACAAATGTTATAACAGAAAGTTTTCGAAGTGTTTTAACTACGTTACAATTTGTTGGCATATACCACGAATACAAACGCTCAAAATTACAAGAAATCTGGACATACATTTTGTATTCAATGTGCTTGACAGTTACAATTTTGGGTGTCGTTCATCTTCTTGTCGAAGAAATTAACGACACGTTTCAGAAAACGGAAGCGGTTGTAGTTTTGTCAGATTCAGTAGCTGCGTGCTTGAAAGTGGCCATATTTTTGAAAAATCGTTCTAGATTGATGAAGTGTATTCAGTTTTTTGGAGATCCACGTTTTGCGCCCAAGAATAATATTGAAGAAAGAATTATGGGTGAGTGTCTCCTCGTTTGTCGAAGAAACATTCGAATTTTTGCCACTATAATTTCGTTCGTTTTGGTTACTTGGAATATTATACCCTTTTTTGAAAGTGGGGGAAATCTGTTACCGATAAAAATTTGGTTACCTTATGAATTAGTTCCAGGTTCTTTAATGTTCTATGTTATTTATTTTTGCGTGGTTACAGGTATTTTATTTATTGGTGTTATTTTTTTTTGTTGTATGTGTAGTTTTTAGTGGGTATTTATCTTGGAATTTCTGCAATGCTAGATCCACTGATTGGGAGCTTAGTGTACCATGCTGTCACCCAGCTGAAAATATTAGGTAAAATATAACATACAGAAACCCGTCAAGTGGGTCGCAGTGAATTGCAACGAATATGACACTGTCGAAACGGAACATGTATTTCAAAGTTTAAAGAAGTGCATTCTACTTCATAACGGTATTTTAGAGTAAGTATCCAGCACTGGTAAGCTATATCCAACGTTTACTATTTTTAGTTTTGTCGCTGAGTTTGAAAACTGCTTTTCCTTGTGCGTATTCTCCCAAATCGCTGGAACAGCAATCGGACTAAGTTTTTGTTGCATTGGACTAGCTTTTGTGAGTGATGCTTTTAAATAAAGTGTGTTTCTATTAACCTTTTTTTCAGAATTCCTTTCAAGGTATTAATGGTATTATGTTTATTGTTTGTTACTTGGCGCTGGGTGTACAATTATTTTTTTATTGTCATTATGGGACTTTATTGTACGAAGAGGTAACAGTTGGGGAATCTAAGTGAAAAGAATTTTATCATTTTTTGGAATACTTATTTGTAGAATAAGGGTTTAATAAATGCTGTTTACATGAGCCCTTGGTACATATATAACACTAAAGCAAGACAAATGTTGCTAATTATAATGGAACGCTCAAAATTACCTCTGAATATTACTGCTGGGAAAGTTATGAATCTAACTTATAGCACTTTCATTACTGTAAGTTTTGAAACAGTGATTTCAATAACTATGATATTTTTTTTAGACCTTAAAAACCAGCTACTCATGGATTACTGTTCTAAAAAATTATAATTAAGTATAACTGGTGCAGGATTCTAAGAAGATTTTTTCGTTGCACGTTATGAATTCTAGTACCCTTTCAGTTCATGTATTTTGTTGTAACTTTTGTTTATTTTGGAATATTAGTTGATGTTTTAGTTAAGAGCTATTTTTCATGAATTTGTCTAAAAAAATATTCAACAACTGACAAACCAATCAACGTATAATATTCCAGAAGCAAAAAAAAGTTTATATAATTAAAATAAAAAATTGAGTAAATTTATGTAAACTAGTAAACCTATACCGCAGAATGGAATCTAGAAGCAGGTACAGTCAAAATATAACAAAACATTAGATTTGACAGGATTGTTACAATATTTTAGATTTTCAAATGTAGTTAATCTCACTATACCTTTAATAAAAGTAATAGCACAAAAAATCTACAAGTTGTAACACTGGCACGATTGTGTTTTAAATCGCACAGTTAAAATATTAGTGATAAACAATTTATCTCACATTTGAAACACAACCGGTACCACATTAAATTTTCCATTGAAATAACGTTGTCGAATTTTTGGTTTCAATAAAGATTTTTATTATGAAATCGAGTTAATTAATAAAATACATTCTGTGTAAATAGTCCTAAAATATAAGAAAATATTAATTTAATATTATTAAAGTAGTATTTTGTTATTGCTAATTCAAGTCAAATTAGAATTATCACGGAAGATCTAAAAAGTCACATTTAGTTTTTTTTTGCGACAATTATGTAACAATACTTTGTAATAACAAGAGAATTATTATTAGACCAAGGTAATTTTAAGATATATAATTATTATAAAAACTGAGGTTTGAGTGTGACATTTTTCTAGAAATGTAGTTTTTTATTTCACAACGTAAATATGGTACATAGTATATACACTCAAATCTGTCCTGTCTTTTCTTTTGCGTTAAATGTGTCTAGATTTCAAGTTTGGTTAATTTGTCGAAGGAACTGAGTGGACAAAATTTTGGTTGACGTTTTACCATCTACAAGAAGATCATAAAGTAATCGATTCGGTGTGTAGAATATTTCTTTAACAAAGGCGTCAAGAACCACAAGCTACATACAAGCGAAGCCAGACAGAAACGTTAAACCTGGGGTAGAGTAAGTATGTGTTCTACATTTTGTGAAACACGAAGACAACTTCAACTTGTGAAGGTTCGTTATAGGGCATCTGGTAAATGCTTCGTTTTAATGATGATAAATTTCATGCTCACTACCTCTTAATTGAAATACTGTCTGCGTTAATCAATAATAACAGCTTCAAAATTTAAAACTGAATTAAAATAATTTATAAAGTTTACATATTTTGCGTCATATTTGTAATCTACTTAAGGCTGCTAAATAAATTAAATTTTTCATACGTTTAGCGAATATTACAGAAATCAACAAATACTTGTCGATTTGAATATAACACGTATATAAACTTATTTTTAATCAAAAATAATTTAATATTTACCTGCTTTGAGGAAGAACCATATACACTTTACTGTTTATATTTTATTTTGTAGATTTTGACCAGTAGTTTTATTTGGTAATCAATATAGTAATTTATTTACTGTGTTAAATCGTGATTATCCATTATTTAGGGCAAAGTGTTTGCGATATATGATTACAATTTATTGCTGCACTTTAAAATTATTGGTAGTACAGCGGTGGTTTTATAAAGATGAAAGCTAATAGGTTAATGAACAAAAGCAAATAAAAAATAAAGGTATTAAAACGGAAGTTGTGAAATTTTATAGGCAACTCTCCAGATATTTCTTTATATATCCTTTTAGTACAAATAAATTCTTTACGCGTGTTATTTCCTATTGTACACCGGAAATGGATTTTTTAAAGTATTTTTGTTTACTCATAGATCAAATACGTATATTGCTTTAAACATTCTCCAAAAGATACTTCATTGGTGATATTCTCTTAACGTAAATACGTTTAACAACAAGTTTAAATATTAAATATCACAGGGATTATACAAATTTTTGATTCTTTTTACCTTACGTTAAAAAATTAACTTAAATAAAATTGTGTACCGCATTGTCTTCTACACATTAAGAATAATCCACTTAAGAGGTTTAAAGAAATTTCACAGGATAAAAAATTCAATTTCGTTGCAAAAATTCTTGTACAACTAAAATATACTTACTTATTAATACATTTATGGAAATTATGGATATCCTTATGATCGAAATAGCCATTAACAGTGTTCATGGTACGTTTGTATTTTGTAGTATGTACCTAGTATAAAATTATATCGTTTTATTATTATGACATCACAAAAAACGATGCTAAAAATAAGATTGCTAGCCACTATTAATAGTAGTTACGTTAAACGTCACATTTTTGTTCTTGAGGTTAATAGTTATTTAATAAACTAGTTTGTTAATGAAGGAGATTATTAATCTCCCATTAACAAACGAATTTATTACAACATTTTTTCGTTGACCACAAACTTGCCCATTCTTGTGTGTTTTAATTTTGAACAGTTAACATAGTTATCATTGGAAAAAAAATGACAAGCGAATCACAAACTTTGACATTCATTGTATAAAAAGCGTTTGCCATTGCGGTTGTAAATTGTAAATTGAGAAATGGAACTAGAAAATAGTGATCTTCCGGTTGCAGTAATAGCAAGTGCGAACGATGCGTGTGGAAGTTTATTACCGGCTAAAAGTAAAGATCTCTACGAAAGAACATACTCTGAATTCTGCGATTGGTGTACCAAGCAACACGTAAACGATTACATTGAGCCCGTCTTGCTGGCGTATTTTGCCGAGATCGTACAAAAAGGATTAATTGCGAGCCTCTGGCCAAAATTTTCAATGTTGAAGTCTACTCTACGTCTAAAAAAAAATATTGACATTGGCAATTATCATAAAATGATAATGTACATTAAAAGACAAAGTGAAGGACATGTTCCAAAAAAATCAAAAATATTGGAGAAAGGGCAAGTACAACAATTTATTATTGAAGCTCCAAATGATGTATTTTTAATGGCCAAGGTAAAGTAAGACCAAGAACTTGAATTTGTACAAGCTAACAACTTTTATAGGTAGCACTCATTTTTGGCATCGCTGGAGCTTTAAGAAAGCATGAACTTCTAGAATTGTAAACCAACAATGTTGAAGATTTGAAATCAAAATTTTTAGTTAGGTACTATCCCTGGCTCCAGAACAAAAATAAAAGAAAAACGAGTTTTTACCATTGTAGATGATGACCAAAGTATATTTTTAAAATTAATCAGACGGTATATAACGCTGAGACCCAACCATACAAAACATACACGATTCTTTATACACTACAGACACAATAAATGCACTACAAACCCTGTTGGTTTCAACACATTTTCCAAAATTCCATGTAGTTGCACAATTTTTAAAATTAGATCAGCCAAAACTCTATACGGGACATTGTTTCCGTAGATCATCAGCCACAATCTTATCTGACTCAGGGGCTGATTTTACGGCAATAAAGAGGCACGGTGGGTGGAAATCAACAAGGGTTGCAGAGTCATACATAGAAGACTCAGTTCAAAATAAAGTTAATATTGCCAAGCAATTGTTTTGTAACGAGACAGCAACTTCTTCCACCACCCCCGAGACCTCTACACAATTGTTTTGCTCAGCCACTGCTAATTTTCCTTCTAATTCGCCAGCAGAAACAGAAATAAATAACTCGATCAACTCGATAAATAACATAACCTCAAACACCTCCGAAAACGTTCAAATCAACATAAATCCTGACGTCAGCAACACAATGAATTTATCTGTTCCTTTCGTAACCTTTAACAATTGTAGTTCTAATAGTTTTGTGATGAATATCCAAAAATAATTCTAATTATGTTATAACAATATTTCATTAATTGTAAAAGTTTCTTGTAAAATGAATAAAATTAAAAAAAAATAAATGAGTATATCTGGTTGTCTAACATCATGACAGATCACAACGTTTTAAAACCGTGAAAATGACGAACTAAAAAAGAGTGCGTTAATGAAAAAGAGATCGTTAATGACGTCCATTAACGCATCCTTTTTTCGGAAAAAAAAATCTTTAATATTCACATTAATAAGTGGTCGACGAAAAAAAAATATTAATAAACTATCCCAACGCCTACGTCTCTATTTCAGGAATCAAAATACAAACAGTTTTCTTTATTAAAAAATTAAAATTTTCTAACACCATTAGTGCCGAAATAATTTCTGTTGGTTTGGTTTAAAATTCTTCACCCATTCCACACCCATTCAAATATTTCAATTCTCTTTATTTTAAATTAGTCGATATTCTGAATTCAAAATCACCGTTTAAATTAATTTATATATCATTTCTTGTAATGCAATCCACGGTGTTGTGTTTTCAGTTTGTTTAACTAAAGCGAACTAAAAACCGAAATGACTTTTCTCGGCACTTTGAAGTTTTGAATAATTTCAGAAGATTTAGGTGCAATAAACTCAATTTTTCTCATAGAAACTAGAATACCTTTTTAATTAACTCGGCAGAACGATTCTTTCCCCAAGAGAATATTCATTAAAGTTAAAAATTAGTTTTTTGGATAACAGTGCGTTGCATTTAGATATTACTTTGCAAAAGTAATTAAAGCATAATTTTTTTGGTATTTACGTACGATAAAACACGAACGTTACATCACAGGACTATATTTATAATTAAAATTTAGTAAGGTTGAAACTTGAAATTATGCTAATGTACGTCGCTTTTAAACATACTTTGCTTCCACGCACTGGACGAAATGGTAATAATAATAATTAACTAATATCGTTCATCTATATTAATAAAAATGAATCGCCGAAATGTATGTACGCTTATAACTTCAGATCTACTGCACCGAATTGGACGATTCTTTTTTTTACGTGTACCTTATTGTCAGGATAAGGTTTTGATGTAAGAAAATTTATAAAAAATAAGACGGCTAAAAGGTAAAAAAAAATTTAAAATTTTGCATGGGAATCGCCACTTCGAATGAATTTGAATAGTTGGCGTTCCTGACGGACCTGTCGCCTAACTGACGTGTCATACAAAACTATTTCTTCCGTGCGATTGTGAAAAAAGTATTATTGCATTTCAAATCGTTCTTTGTTTTTTCGTAAAAAAAAAGTCGTTTATTTTAAGAATAGTCTTAGTTAAAGTGAATTTAGTTACACATTGCGAAAGTGTCTTATTAATTTTGATCTGCCATTCTATTTACCTATGTTCACTTTGTTGGTTTCGACAAAACTTCAAACTTTACCGTTATTCGAGGATTTAATTTGAAGTTTTCAATATTTTAAAATTCTCAAGACAAAATTTACAGATTTGATTGACTGTGAAAATAATTCTGTGTCGTTTTATGAAGTTCATTACAATGCCGAGACGACGACAAGCTGACATAAGTCCACGAAGTCAATCAAATGTGCGACGAACTACCTAAGGTGCAAATCGCGATGATTTATTTCAAGGGTAATTCGGATACGGAAGTTGATCAGCGTTGTGCTCATAATCAACATCATAATCAAACATTGAAGCGAGACATTGGAGGGTATGAATAAAACTGAGTAGATACTCATATT